ACTTTCCAATAAAACACTCTTTATACATGTTTTATATAACTAATAATGGTCTGTTAGGCTCTAACTTGCATAAGGCCTATCAATGCTAAACGTGGCATTTATAAGCCACAGGAACAACTTTTGGGTTGCCAGGTTAGGGTTTGTGCTTTACCACCTTATCAATGTTAATGATATCGTTTAAGCCTCAGAATATTGAACTCAGGGACCTTAATGGGAGACCAGATGTTTTGTAGCCATGCTAAGATCTAGGGTCCACTACTTTGGTAAGCTCTAGAAACATATGTCAGATGAAAGTAAAATCTGTTGGAAATGGGATATAATTTTTGATACAAAAATACTTTTTCTTTCTGTTTGTAGCCAGTTTGTGGTCCAAAGTAGTATTGTCCAATAACGTTTGAGCAGTCTTTGGTTTAATGCAGGTCAACAGAGCAACAGCGGCAGGACGCATTGGCTCTAATGCAATCCCAGATTATCGCTTTACGTTGATTTAAAGACGTTGTCTCTCAACTTCAACTCTATCCTAGCCTTGACACATGTTGGCTTCACCTGAACAGAAGTACTGCCCCCCTATTGAATAATTAGCAGTCATTTTGTCAAGACATCATTCTCCCCAGAGGATGAATTCTAACAGTTTTAAGATCCGCTCATTTAATCTGGTCAAAATGTGTCCAATCCTTAACCATTATGTAAACTTATTTTCTGTCAAATGCTAATTAGCAAATGTGTATGCTATCATGTTATACTTATAGAACGTATACCTGGCTAGCATCAGCATGTTAGCATTGTTAGTATGTTACCATGCTAATGTTTGCTTCAAAACAAAACACCACAGAGCTGATAGGATGGATTTGAAGTCATAAAAGAATCATTAGAACATCCAAATGGTCCTCTTTAATGATATACCTCAAGTCAAGTCACAATGAATGTGTGGAGATGTACAAATTCATTATTTTGGCGCCATCTGGTGTTAGACAAAGTCACACCAACGGTCTGCCCTTTCAAAGGTAGAACACTGTTTGAAAACATTGTTAGCTGTTATTAATGTATGCATATATAAGGACACTGTAATAATACAAAAATGAAGTGCTTTCAATTCTACATGTGTTTATAAAAACAGGGTTTACTGGTAAATCATTCTGGTTATTTTAACAATGAACTTATGCACAGTATTACTCTATCTACACTATGTGTAGTATGGTTTACTGCTCCAAAATGGGAGCCTCCAATATGTTTAAATCGTGTCATTTGTGTTTCTTTGTTCATCAGTGTATCCTTCCCATAAGTAGCTCCATATTTCTTATATTTCTGTTTTTAATGACTACTGCTTGTTAGTGTGCTAGGGTTAAATATAAATAAATATTTTTTTCAAACCATTCCGGCAAAAATAAAATGGAAATATTAATGATATTAGACATATTTAAATGAATAGGAAATGAATAACAAAGTGGCTGCAAATGGCCGCATTAAAAATCAACTTGGAGATGTAACGCAATACTTTAAATGATTCCAAGTCTGAAATGTAGGTAAAACAAAGAGGCCTTCCAATGTTATTAAGATTTTGAGAGTATTGAAGGAAGTCAAGCCAGACAATCTCACTGCTTTCATCTCGACGCGATGTTTACAATATCACTCAGCAACAGGCCTTACTCTCTGTATTTGCTTTAGTTTAGTAGATATCTACAAACAAAGAGTCGATATTTGTCTAATATCCAGTTTCTGATAGTGTTACGTTATTATGAGAGTGCTCATACTTGTTTGATTCTGAAATTGTATATATTTATATAAATATATACCTATGGGCCATTCTACCGAATTGACGCAAAGTGAGGTTGGAACAGTTTTGAAATGTTGTATGTTTTTTTCCCAAAACTTTGTCCATATATATTTTGTACCATATCTAAATTACACATATCTAGTTTAATAACCGTACATTTTTATATCATATTTTCAGACTGTATTGGAATGTTTTTCCTCTACCAAAAATGGTCACTACCAAAACATAGTAGGCTACATACACTGTAGTAAAAAAGTATTATATTAACCTGTTAAGATTGTTTTACCTTTTTAACAAATATTTCTTGAGGGTTTTCAAAATTAAATCAATGCAATTTTATTTTTAATCAAATTTCAAAGTTTAATTTATACAATTCATAAAAATCTCAATGCAAACTTTCTTTGTAAAATGCATAATACTGATCATATTGATTCCAGAGTTGATGATTGTTGAAATTGAACATTAAACCAATCAGTATCATATCATTTTATTTGATAAGTCAATATACTTGATTTTTTACAAAACATCCGGTGTTTCGGTAGTGACCACAGTATTTTGTTCTCAAGGTTGTATCATATTCCCTCAACCTTATTTCTTAATCTTAACTCATAACATTCCTTATGTTGAAGTGTGAATGTTTGAAGCTACTGACCCAGAATCAGCACTTTAGTAACAGGCTGAAAGAGAGGGGGATGAGGCTAGAATGGGTGATCTGTTTGGTATTTTGAGCAAAACACCTCATAGACATGTTTTTTATATATCTGAGACCTATAATATATGCCTAACAATAGTATAATAGGAGACCTTTAAAGTAACACACTGATTTTCAGACTTTAAAACACATTTATTTAAAAACTATGGGATTTACCTGCTTACCATTCCATTTTGTCACCACCGAAACGATCATGTCAATTACCAGGCCCGGTTCTACGGGGGTGCATAAGGGTGCATTGCATCCTCAGTTGAGTCGTTATGCACCCTCATTTGAAAAATGAAAAGTAAAAAAAATAAAAATAATGAAAAGTGAAAATAATGAAAAGTGAAAAATATTACATGTATAATAACAATAATAATAATAGTAGTAATAACAATAACAATAATAATAATAAGAAGAATATAATTAAAATAAAATAAATTGTAATTGTGGTTAAATAACTTTGTTTGCTGCATTTATTTGATCAATTTAAACGGTAAGTAACGTTATTATGTCAGGTGCGCGTGACCTGTGCCGCTGCGCGTTCGTCATCTGCAAGGTGCTTACACAGCAGTCAGTGATGGACATCAGAAAATGGTTAAAACAACCAGCCCTTAACGCCAGCAGTAACACTGCAACTACTGCAGGTAATAACAGTTCAGATCATGGGGACATTACGTTACCCGCGGCCACTGTCGTGGACACTAATGCCCGACTCGCCGGCTTTGCCCGCCTCGCCCACGGAGGCGGAGCAGCCGTCTTCGTCGCCCCAAACACCGCCACCCCTCAGCGGCCCGCAAGTGCCAGAGGACCTCGGCAAAACAGAGCCAGGTATATTTAAAAAAGTACCCAACTCGCCTGTACAGTGGGGTAAGGCGCTCATTTTGCAGCTCATGGTTTCAAAACAGAGATTGCTGGAATATTCATGTTAAAAAGATGCCATCTTCTGCTATGCATGTAGACATTTCGGTTCAAGTAAGTCAGATGCCTTCACCACAACTGGCTACAACAACTGGCGCCATGCTCTTATAGGCTACGTGATAAGGGACTGGGAAGGCATGAATCAAGCAAAGAGCACATAGATCCATAGATCTCTTAATGTTGCTCTCAAAGTGCACCAGATTGATGCTTTTAACTTCAATATTTAAAAAGAAATCCCCACTAATAAAAATAGCACTTGCACCCCTCGGCGGCCCACCCTCTCTAATCTCAGATGCACGCTGAGTCATTTTGTTCTGGAACCAGGCCTGTCAATTACCGAAACGTAACCATATGTTTCGGTAGTGACTGTTTCGGTAGTGACGATTCAAGCTAAAATTGAGCATAACTAAAGAATGCTAGCAACTACATGGCTAGCATACACGTTTTTGAAGAGGTTTACACACATAAAGACCTAATACTTTGCATAAAACTCCAAAAAAGTTTACTTAATTGAAGATAATATGTCTTCGGTAGTGACAATTCTCAAGGTTACACGCCGATTTTCAGATTTTGGAACAGATTTATATCAAAAGTATGGCAGTGTTTCCCCTACCATTGTCTTGGAGGGGCGCTGCGCCCCGCCAACGGAGCCCCGCGCCCCCCCTGAAATTCAAGGTGTTTTTAAAAAAAAAATGTAATTAATTTTTTTATTTTATTTATATATATATATAGCACCAAATTGCAACTTATCTATATCTACTGTCACTTTTCACATGTGCTCTTTTATTAAATAAACTAAACGCTTTCATTTGAAGTTGTGAGTTTAGTGTTTTTGACCCTAAGAAACACTGATGCATTAATCAATAATCCACAGCTCCTCTCTCTGCTCCAGAGGATTTAAAAAATATATATCCCAATGCCACCATTTTTTGAGTATAGTTTTTTTATTAAAAAATTAAACCCACAATAAATATAAATATTCCAACTTCTGTTTGAATGTAATCATAAAGATCTTCTAAATACACCATTCAACAAAATAAAATAAAAATGTTTTAAGTGTTATTTACAGAACATGAAATGTAGATGTCAGGGTTGGGGACAGCTATACATCCCAATAGAAAGTACCCTATAAATGATGTTTTTGTATATATTAAGCTTATCACTATATAATTGAATGCCTTATGTTTAAATAGACCATGACATATTCTTAGTAAATATCTATGTCTGAATACTTAATTGTTTTGTTAAATAGTTTTTCTTGTTGTGGGACCACACTTTGCATCAATTCGGTAGAATGCCCCATATGTGTGTCCGCATCTGTAGCCTGTTATTGTGTCATTATACCGCACTGTGAATGAATCAAAGTAAATATAGAAGTGGTCATGAACACATCTGTCCATCAGACAGGCTGCTGTGCCTCCTGTCATCATTAATGGACGTCTCTTTAAAATGACCGCTCAGAGGAGAGGAGTTCTGATTTCTCTAACCGCCTGCTGCTTCCCCTCCTCTCTCCTCGGTTCCCCTCCTTGGCTCCTCTACTCGCATCTCCTGTGGTCGGGACTAAGGCACGAGGTTAGGAGTCAAAAATAGGAGTCGAGGATAGGAATTAGAGAAATGAGAAAGGCCCCGGGTGGCAGCAGCAATAAAGAATGCTAGCTGCCCTAACCTCAAAGAAGAAGAAAAGGTAGCGACATGTGATGACGTCGTTAGAGCGCGCCGAAGAAGCTATCAGTCCGGTTAGCGACGTTAGCTCCATGGCTGTATTATGGTTAGCTCCCCTGTGAAATGAGACTATTGATAAGTTCGCGCTTCTTGTTGGGTGTTTTCTCGTCTTAGATGGTCCACCAACCAGCCCGGTGCCGAGTAGTAGTTTGCTCCAGTCTCAACCGGCAGTCGTTATGGCAGCGGAGGGGGATCTACCAGCAGACCTTCTGACAGAGGAGGTGAAACACAGCAGCGGGGACTTCGTTCCCCCGGACGGGCTGTGCTGGGTGTCCGTGCTGTCCTGTCTGCTGCTGGCGTGCTCCTATGTGGGCAGTCTGTACGTGTGGAGGAGTGATCTGCCCAGGTGAGCCCCACACTGCGGAGGGATAACTAATAGGGTTTAATGACTCTTTTCTACCTGGTTGGCTCGTGCTCTGTCCACTCTGTCATAGTTACCGTTGCATAAGGCCAGCAGGAGAAAGTAACTAAGTACATTTACACAAGTACTGTACTGTACTTCTTTTTGTATGTTTTTTTTAAACTAAATTAGTAGGGATTTTTAAACACTACATTCAACATTTCAACATGACACATCATTTAACTTCCTCCAATGTATACAATAATACATAATAATAATAATAATAAAACAAATTAACATAGGCTACATACAGATATATATGAAAAAAATACATGAATTTAAAGAACAACAAAGTTGATGAAGAATGGTTGTCATCAAATATTATTGCATCCCCACTCTTTTTTTATTCAAGTACTGTGCTTGAGTACATTTTTGAGATACTTGTACTTTACTTGAGTATTATAATTGTATGCTATTTTATACTTCTACTCCACTACATTTTGGAAACAAATATTGTACTTTTTACTCCACTACATTTATTTTTAAAGATGAGTTACCAGTTACTTCAGGTTCATATTATTAATACAAAAATTAAATACATTATGATGTACTATTATTAATGGAAGTACCTGGCAGTATAACAAGTTATTAAAGTGATGTTATCCTTATCCAGCTGCAAAATGAACACAATGCATCACTAATTATAAACCAGTAATATAATATTTATTATTCAAAGATGGCCACTTTGGATGAGGAGAACTTTTGGTTGTGGTACATTTTACTGCTATTACCTTTGTACTTTTACTTAAAGGTGGGGTACGTCATTCGCTTCAGATACACTTGTTATATTCCATGGAATGCTCTTAACATCCCGATAGCAATGAATATCTTAAGTGCTTTGACAATAAACACATAAACACATGTCATCTGTGGAAGCTGTAGCGCTGTAAAAAGCACGACCAATCATCTGAGCCGGCTAAAGTAACTGGATGGCCTACCTGCCTGTCAGCCTTCCATCTGTGCACAAACTTATCTCGTGCCCTCATTGGTCATGTGCGCGTTCGTGTGTGTTGGAGGAGGGGCTCTGTGAGGAAGTCTGAAGGAAGTGGCAGATCTTTTGCGGTTGTGTATTTTCAAATTCTAGCGCACTCGAGCTGGTTTCTCCATTCTTACCTACCCCACCTTTAAGTATAATTTTTAATGCAGGACACTGTGGTATTATAACTTTTACTTAAGTATACAATCTAAGTGCTTCTTTCAAAACTGCCGAAGGCTCAAGGGGATTTTGCAACACTATGTTCCAAAAATCTCAGCTGATATTCATGTTTTCTCTTAGCATGTGGTCTTCATACTGTATTTGACAGCCTCTATGTGGACTTTATGATGCACTGAACATTCCTCATTGTGGCTCAACCATAACTGAACAAACCTGTGAGGGGGCCCAAAGCAAACTCCTCGAGGCCCCTACTCATACATTCTGCCCTGTGTGTATTTTGTGTATGTAATTTCCCATAGAGCACAGACTATGTCTCAATGTTTATCCAGAGATCCACAAGTTAACCTTTGCTACTTTGCTGAAATAACACTACATTAGCTAAAGGGTCAAAGTAGTAAGCACAACTGTATGTACACTAAAGGAGTACAGTAAATAGGGTGCATTTAAAGGGGACCTATCATGCAAAATGCACCTTTGTAGTTTGTACGTCTTTTATACATGAATATGTGTCCCCGGTGTGTCAGGGAACTCACCAAGTGTCAGAAAACACAACCCTCTCTCTTTTCCTCCATACCCAAATCTCTAAAAACGGGGCTGCAACGGATCTGATACAGACTGATACAGATTTGAAAATAGTCTGACGTCAGTGACGAGGAGCCCCGCCTATATGGGCAACTCTCTACCTATCATGATGAATTGGAAATGGGGGACCCTGATGTAAACAAGACGAAAGTCTTTCTCTGGTCTGCATCCCCTTAACAATTGTATGTTTTGAGCTGTACTGTACTGTACCCAATATACAAGCTGTTAATAAACTTTTCAATCAATCAATCAATCAGGGGAATGAGAGGTTGTGTGGCATGGTAACAGCATGGTAACAGCAAGGTAACAGCATGGTAACATGACGCTCGTGCCACGCCCCCCTCCTTTGCAGGGGGGCGTGGTCAGCTGCAGCTCATTTGCCACAGAATCAGCCCTTGTGAAGACAGGGCTGGAATAGAGCGAAATGAGGCATGCCTAAAGGCCGCTACACACCAACCTGAGACCAAAGAACTCGTACCGAAGGCGTCCTGACTTTTACGTCGCCTGCGTCGGCTACGACGCCTGCCTACGAACACACCGCAAAGACTTCAGTCGACCAGTGGCAATAACTGTCCTTCCCAGCAGGCAGCGGAAGTGTGTATTCGTCAATCAAAAGAGGCAACAGCCAATCAGAGTGATTTCTGTGGCCGACTTTCTTTGGCCGATTCAACATGTTGAATCGGCCGCGGGAGGTGTGAAAATGTGCCGTAAAGCAACGACGGTGCGGGACACTCCAACCTGAGTAGGGCGCCGCGAATGCCCGACTGCCTCTGACGGCCTCTGACTCCCAAAATCGGGTAGGTGTGTCCGGGCCTTAAGATGCATGATCTGTTTGGTATTTTGAAAACAAAACTTCACAGACATGTTTTATATAGGTATGGCCCTATTATTCAAATATAGCATGATAGGTCCACTTTAAGATAAGATGGACCTGTCTGGATCCCTGTAGGGAAATGCAGGTGTCATAGCAGAAACAAGACAGAAACACAGCTAGTACACATGGGAATATACACAATAAGTATTCAAAAAAAAATTAAGAAGAATAAACCCGTAGTTACAGTATGAATAGAAGTATCACAAATAACATGAGTTAAACTCTGATCAGGTGAATGTACATATACAGATATGTGAAAAGGTTATATATATATATATATATATATATATATATATATATATAATCAGTCTTTCCCCTAGGATGGAGTCATTCAGCGGTGCTAAAGCACGTGGGCCCAGCACAATGTGTCTCTAAACACTCAGAGTCCCTAACCTCACCTGAGCTGTTTACCTCTCAGTCTGACAGCAGAGGACTCTCCCTCCACCTTGTTGTTGAAACATCTCTGTATGTCTTTTAGAGTAGCTAGCTAACCAGATGCTAACAACAAAAATACAAGTAATCGGTGCTCTTTCACACTCACACACACACACACACACACACACACACACACACACACACACACACACACACACACACACACACGAGCTTGAATGACACACATAAGGCGCGTTTCCACTGCAGGCCTCGCTCGGCCTCGCTCGGTTTGGTTAGGCCTTATTAGGCCCGGCTCACTTTAATGCTGTGCTTCCATTACGGAGCGTCCACACTACAGCTTAAAAAAAAGCTTGGAGCTGGGCGTGTCTGAAGCTTGGGGATTTTATTCGAGCAACGCGACCAACAACCAATCACATGAATCTCCCGCCCCCGACATACAAAGCAAAAAACCCCTGGGATTTTATGCGAGCAATATATATATATATATATATATATATAAACTCCCCAAACAGGCGAAAAGCTACCAGTTTCACCCACTGTCTCTGCCACCTCCCTCCATGCCTGGTTCCTCCGGTTTGTATCCCGGTAGGTGAAGAGGGTCTGGTCATACAAAACCGGGTGATTTGCTACGGCGATAATTAGTTTCTCCTCCATCTTTTTTTGAAATATAGAAATGAACGGCGGGATATCTCTCCCAGCTTAGACGCGGTTTGATTGGCTACGGCTTGAGCTGTCAAATTTTCAGAAACGGGATTTGATTGGCTGGCGCTACTCCGGCGTCTCCGGCGGAGACGGACCGCTATGCTACCCACAATTCAGTTCGGCGAAAAGCGAGGCAACGTCACCTCACCCCATTCAAAGTGAATGGGCAGACGCATTGGAAACTGTTTTTGAAGCTGTCGACGCTGTAGTGTGGACGCAGCGTTACAGTTTAGGAACTGAGGTAGTTACTATAGTAACGCAGTGTAGGCGGAGCCATGACGTCATCTTCAATGAGAGCCCCAGAAAAACAACACAGACAGCCGTTAGCTCTTAGCACTCAGAGCTCACAGCTCCTCATATCTGTTCAGAAACTAGACAAAAGTTAAACAAGTACAAACCACAGACTGCCTGTGTCATGGCGAATACAGTCGCTGGTTTATTTATGTCTGTAGGCCGTTGTTGTGAGTGTGGACGGTCGGAGCATATATAACGTTAGCTTAGCCAAGCTCCATTTAGAAAACACGCATTTTAAAAGGGTGTTTCGCCTGCCGTCTGTCTGCAGACTTGTCAAAGCATTAATTCATGGTTTTTACTAACCGGTATCAGTATGTTGTTACTTCGGCATCATTTTGAAACGTGTATTACAATTAAATCACGGTCAAATATGTTCATCTTGTTGTAGTTGTAGCCCCCTTGCCAGCAATTCTCTCTCTAGTTTAGCATACTCAGCCCGACTCAGCCTGGTTGTTCCTGGTCCTAGAACCACGATTTTATGGGGCCAGAAAAACTGTGAATTAGGACCCGCTAGCCGGTACTAGGCCAAGTGGAAACGCAACCAAAAACGGGCCCCGCACGGCTCGGCACGCTTAAAGTGCAGTGGAAACGCGCCATTAGACCAATCGAGGGCTTTGATTTATGACCACCGGTATGGAAGTGGCCATGTCGGCAGGCCACATCATGTAGACAGCCAGTCACCCTGTGTGAGGAAAACCCACATTTGCGCAGCGTTGCGTTCACAATACATAATTTAAAAAAAATCCTCAGCCCAGCAGGCCACTTAGCAAGCAGGCCATCGGGAAACCTCCCGGTCCTCCCCATGGCCTGCCTGTTAAGTGGCCTGCTGGTCTGCCTAGTACATACAGTGGCAATGTCTCAAGATTTAGCAAAATACACCTTTTTGAACATACAGTAACACAAATACTACAGTACAAATCCACATAACAAACAATCAAAAAGGGTCGGCACTTATTATTATTTAAAAAAAATTAAAAAAACGTATCATTATTTATAAAAAAAACAAAACACATTTTTCGGCGCCGCCGCTATTTGTATATAGGAGAAACACTGCATATATTTATATTAATTGAAATGACAAAGGTCATTATAGTTTCTCTTAGGACATTGGTAAGCAGAGATAGTAACCCCTCTTTATCCCACACATCATCACCTGGCTGTCTCAACTCTTTTGTATAATACACAATCGTTTATTTTCTTTAAAACCATTGAAATATTAGTGAACCTAGGATGTGATTGTCAGAAATCACATTCAAAATAAGTCCACAATACTAGCTAATAATACCAAGTTAAACTTTTATATATACTTTAGCCATAACAAATAGTTTGCAGTTCATTCATTTTGTAATGTACAATGAATAGACAGCAGGCATGAAGGATGTATGAACTTCATTCAGCGTTGGTAGTTTTGTTTAATGATATATATGTTTATTTTAGATTTTTAGGATTGAACTTTTAATTATATTTTGGATGTCTTTTAGAAGATTAATCCAATATATAAACGTGTGTAAACAAAAATCACCATTTGGTGTTACTACAGTGTCTCCGTCCTGTGTGCTGAATCAGATCATGTGACGTGTGATCTTGTTCCTGTTCTCAGGGATCACCCCGCTGTGATAAAGAGACGCTTCACCAGCGTGCTCATCGTCTCCGGCCTGTCTCCTCTCTTTGTGTGGACTTGGAGACAGCTCACAGGAGTCAGGGTGAGTGTCCCACCATAACATCGCAATGAAATACTGTATGTGTTGTCGTGTTGCTGTCAGACACATTAGCTGTTGAATTATCATTGATTTCTTCTGCTTTGACTCTTCTGAATGTGTTGTGTGTCAGACCGGCCCAGCGCTGCTCTCGCTGATGGGGATCCGCTTCGAAGGCCTCATTCCTGCCATCATTCTCCCTCTGATGCTCACCATGGTAAGAAGCAGAACTCAACTGGATAGTGGTTTGACGTTGCTCGAGTTCTAAGCATGTGCCTGGGTCTTCAGAGGGTCCCTGTGCCCCAGAAGCTGAGCGTAAGAGGCTGTGTCCCTGTGGCTGCTAGGACTTCTATTTCACATTTTTACTATCATGTTTGTTTATATACATATTTATTTATTAATATGGTGCAACTGAAAACACAAAACCTATCAATCAATCAAGCACAAATATTTTATGGATAACAGTATGGGGGTTATTCCCTATCTTTATTCAAGAGCGTGGTCTTTACATTTGAGAGCATACTTTATTGATTTCACGTTCAGAATATGTATGTATTTCCCTCAAACCCTGTCCTCGCACTCAAATAGTGCCTGCTTGCGCTTAGATCTGCTCTGCTTCTGCTCAAACTGTAGCTTGCACTCAGATATATTGCTGCTTACAGATTTCCTGTGTTCCAGCTTAAAACCTTCTCCTCGCACTCAGGCTGTTTCTGTGCGCTCGTGAAATGTCTGCTCTCAGATTTATTCTGTGCGCGCTCGGATCTTTTGTGAAACAACCCTATCAAAATCCCTCAACCAATAGGAGGCCAGGTGTGGATGCGTTTGCTTTACTTATTAGAGCGTCCCGTAAGGACGGTTACTCTTTGGTTTATAAACTACCGCCCTCCACGGCTTTATAACATAACATTTACTTCACTTGTTTAATTTATATATATATATATATCAGCACCTTATAATAGCTACATTAATAGTAGCCTGTGCTGGTGCAGAACAACAGTCTGGAGTATCGCTATCCAACATGGAGCAAAGTCATATCGTTTTATTTGCCATAGCCTACTTTTTACGCTGGCAAGGGTTTCGTGAATCAACCACGTCAGGTCTTGCTCATTGACAGCTGCAGGAACTAACATGGCTATTAATGTTAGCTTAAACCAAGATGGTAATATTTCAAATGGCTCTTAAATACACGCAATATAGTAATCGTAATTTATGCTTCTGTGAGTTTCATTTTCCCTTCATCCATGTCCTGTTTAAGTTTAATCAGTGTGGCTAAATAAAAGACTCACATTAATAATTAGGGATGCTCCAGTCGATCGGCCGATATTCACGATATGCCACGATCGGTGCTCTCTATAAAGGCCTACCCTAATAATCGCTGGGGGAAATTCCACAAAAATCATCAGGAAATCGGGTTCCGGTAAAAAAAAAAAAAAAAAAATTCCCCCTCCTAAATCAGACCGGTGTGTGCATGTGTCCGGCTGCAGGTGCTGTTCCTGGGCCCGCTCATGCAGCTGGCGATGGACTGTCCCTGGAGCTTCATGGACGGGTTCCGGGTGGCCATAGGTGAGACGTGATTCCTTTGCTTTTCACTTCCAACAATGCTGGATTACCTTTACAAAAAAATTGAAATAGACTTTCAAAATGTTTACCTTTTTAACATTTTAGAAATCTTTAAGTTTACAGATGCAACAAACTTGATTTATTTATCAAATGTATTGTTGTGGCTCCAGACATATTATACTTGGTGACAAACGGGCAAAATGTCTCTTTTGATAGTAAAGGTTGCTGACCCCTGGCCTCGGCTCAGAGCGGTCCTGATAGCTTTTATAACTATTGGCAAGATGTCTAAAACTAACAAGATGGAAACAATCAGCACCACCTTCCCACTCTGTGGATAAAGGACATATCATCATTTATATTTAGAGCTTAAAAAATCAGTTACACATTGTGAACATTTAGAAATATCTTTCTATGGCTATGCAAAGAGAAATAAAACGTTCTAATCAAATCAAACTTTATTTATATAGCACTTCATACACAAAGGTAACTCAAAGTGCTTCACAATCCAAGCACAAAGACAATTTACAAAAGAAAGGTAACACAGCTTTGTGATTCAAAAGAACACTTAATACAATATATATTATTATATATTCAGGACTGAATAAAACAAGACTTAAATAATAGAGTAAATAAATACAAATTATAAAAAGGAATACAATTAGAATGAAATACAGAAAGACTTTTCCATATATCCCAGAATAGGACCGCATTTTATATTTATTTATCTAGTGTACTCACTTATTTACTATTTATTTGATTCTGACCTGAAGGGGAGAGGTTATTATGTTTTCCGTATGGTACGTTGTATGACACGGTCACCCACAACCGTGTGGGTTGACAACAATGACAGCACTTTGTCATTGTTGTCAGTTTTCAAATAAATAAATAACCCTTAGCTGCAGGACAGGACTTTATTTAAGTGTACAATATGACAGTGTTCTATAATGAAGTGCTCCTCCTCCTCAGAGGTGATAACCCCCCCCCCTGTGTCCCCCCCCCTGCAGACCCCTGGTTCTGGTCGATGTGTTTCAGTGACATGCGCTGGCTGAGGAACCAGGTGGTGGCCCCCCTCACAGAGGAGCTGGTGTTCAGGGCCTGCATGCTGCCCATGCTGGTGCCCTGCGCCGGGCCCCTCACCGCCATCTTCACCTGCCCCCTGTTCTTCGGAGTGGGTGAGTCCTGCCAGTCTGAGAGAAGCTAGGAGGGAGTGAAGTGCACTGATTATGATACTGACTGATGAACTGACGCTGTGGTGGAGAGAAAAGGAATGTCCAGTGGCGAAAAATATAAATATTCTTATTAATTCCAACAGTTAATGCAAAAATGAACCCTTTCAAACAAACCATTTCCTATATGAATTTGTTTAATAAAACTAAATACAGAACCAAGCTTGTCACACGCTGCTAACAAAGCAAGGTCTAAATACTGTATCGCTTCAATCTGCCGCTAGGCTGCAGAACCTCCTTTATGCTGCAGGAGCAACACACTCAAATTCATTAAATAATACACACCACACAATCTAAGGCTGTAAATGCTGTATATTTAATCAAAAAGTATGCATAAATACAAACTCAGGAAGTGGCTCCAACAACTGTGCTTGAGTGAATGGCTGGAAGTGAAATGTACATGTATTCTCCTCCATTAGAATCAGGTGTATTGCCAAGTAGGTTAACACAGAGGAATATGCCTTGGTGTATTTGGTGCATACATAAAGACAATTACAATTCTAAGAAAAAACTACCAAAAATCTATTGTAAAAAACAATTTAAAAAAGCTATTAAACATTTTTAATATAGATAAATATTTACATGAAATATAGATATACCAAAAACTATGAACAGTAATATGTGCAGAATTGTTGGTTTAAAAGAGGTGGCTTTGGGAGGATATCCTTGCTGTACAGTTTAGATCTACAGATGTGTTTTCCCCCAGAAATTCCAAGACTTCTTTTACTTTGATATACTACTTTATGAAAATGTATCAAAATACTGAAACTACTTTGACTTTATTTAAAAACTTACTGCAACAAATGAAAAAATCATGGGCATCTAAAGAAGGTCTGTGGACAGTCTTGAATAATAAATAGCATAAACTCCACCGCTGTGCTCCCTTTAAGGTGCTGTCAGACAGGTGCGGTTACTTTGATGGTTAAAAATACTTTCAAATAGAAGCAGGGGTGCTGAGATCTAAAGAATACAAATACTTGAGTTTAGCTGAATAGCCGTGTGACGAAGGTAACTTCGTCACTATGGACTGACGGCTTCGGGCCGGGTAATCTTGCACATGTGGGTTTGCACAGGACAAATGTCACTCAGCACTTTAGTGAACAGTTTGCACTTTATTAGCGGGATTTGCACAGTACAGTTAAACATTGCCTATTTGCACATTTTATACTATTTATTGATGTAGTGTGTATTAAATGATTCAACCGTATTAAATTGTGATGTCGTCTGGCAGACGCTGGTCGGGCTCTCGGCTCCACCTGGAAAGAAAGGGGAGTTCAGTGTTTCCCACAGAATTTGATTCTATTTGTGGGGGCACCGCACAAAAAAAGAAAAGCCAAAGGCCCCTTAACCTATTCGGGTGGCCCACGCATCCACCCCCCCTCAAATAAGATAATACATGCGAGTTAATGGCTACTGTAGACAACGTTCTTGTTGCTCTGTGTTGCGTTGTTAATGAGTGAAACACACCGGAGTTGAGGATCTGTGGGGTTTATTCTCCCAAAAATATAATTTACAATTTAGGCATTTAGCAAACGCCTTATTCCAAAGCGACTTACAATGACATTCTCCCCTGGAGTAACCGAGGGCTAAGTGGTGTTCCAGGCAGGATTTGAACTTGCAACCTTCCGATCATCAGCCCACCTCACTATCCATTAGACTACCACCAAAAAAAAAAAAAGAATAAAAAAAAAAAAAAGAATAATAATAAAAAACATTTTTATGAGATCCATTTGTGGCGGACCATATTTAATTGTGGCGGCCCGCCACAAATAACTCAATGTATGGGAAACACTGGGCAAGAGCGCCAAAAGTGTTGGTTTGTGTAGATTGACAGCAGTTGAGATTATGTGCAAAGGATATGTTTAGCGTGTAAAGGTCATGATATAAGGTGCATTAATGGTACAAGTTACTCCTATAACAGTCAACATCATAACACTCACCTCCGCCTGCTCTCTCGTCTCCGGTCCCAAGGTCCGTCATCGTAAAGGGTCCCCGGGGAAACAGCGGATCCTTTTTATCGTTCCGGATGGGGTTAAAGGAGCAGGTTGGAGGCAGGGGTGATTTGTTATCATGTACATTTGGCTTGTTAGTTTATAACGGTTTTTCTTTTCATACAGTAATTAAATATAATGTAAGTAAAGGATGTTTGTCATTCTCCACTAAATGTTTATTGTGAATAACTACGGTCCTTATCTGAGCTGACCATCTCTGCACATGCCACCCCTTTTGGATGGTACGGTCCAATGGGTGGGGCTATAAAGGGTGGCATGTTGGGCTCATTTGAGGGAGAATAGTGTGGGAGACAGTCATTGGGGGATATTGATGTGGTCAACCATGTAGGAAAGATGAATAAATACCCACACTGGGTTGTATCAAGATGTTCTGCCTCTGTCTCCCGTCGGGCCGCTCACTTGTCAGCCTCACAAGTGGTGTCAGAAGTGGGATTTACCAAGTAAACCGTTGGAAATGCCGAGAGGGAAAAAAAACGACCAAATGGAGGTGCCCGATGACGAGGTGGCTAGGCATGGAGTTGACCAGGAGGCCACGGCTGGTGAACCAAGGGACAGGTTTGAGGAACTGTCTGAGATGATGAAAGCACTCATGCAGTCTCAGAAGCAGCAGGAGACGAACTGGCAAAGGCTTCAAGCCCGGGTATCTGAGATGAGAGCGGGGCCGCCAACAGAGCAAGGCAGTGATGAGGAGCGGCCCAGAAGAAGAGGGGACTTCGGTGATGATCTGGAGCAGACGTCTTCATCCAGGCGAAGGTCGCCAAGACGTCAGAGAGAACAACCGCTTCACCGCGAGCCAAAGTTGTGGCCACTGGGGCCAGATGACGACATTGAACAGTTCCTCACCACCTTTGAACGCATGGCCCAGGTCTGTCGTTGGGACCAAGAAGAGTGGGCTGTCCGATTGGTTCCCCTGCTGACTGGTAAAGCACGCAGTGCGTACGTGCTAATGGACATTAGAGACTCTGAGGACTACGAGCAAGTCAAAGCAGCAATCCTGGCCAAATACGAGATCACCGCTGACACCTATAGACGGAGGTTTCATGCCCTCGACATCCAACAGGACGAGACCCCACATGAGCTGTACGTCCGACTGAAGGACCTCTTCTGCAAGTGGGTTAGGTTTGAGACGTCCAGCATCAAAAACATTTGTGAGATACTCATCCTTGAACAGTTCCTCCGCATGGTAAACCCAGAGATGGAAGTTTGGATCCGGGAGGAAGCGTCCCGCCTCGCTGAAGTATTTCATTCAGCAAGGAAAGAAAGCAAAAGCTTTGCGAACTGCCAGAACCGATACCCGTCGGGCAAAAGTAATGCTTATGGGGGTGAAAAGGGTAGTGGTTACACCTATGGTAGCAATAGCAGCGGAAAGCAAACCACGCCAAGTCGAATGACCTATGCTAAGAGGCAAGTTCAGCCAGAAATAAGGTGCTACCATTGTAATGAGTTTGGCCACACACAACCCACATGCCCAGTGGCTAGGCAGAGTAAGCCCTCTCTTCTTTGCACTGTTCCCAGACCCACCAGGCAACCAGTAGTTAGGCAGGAAAAAGCACGTATAGTTCCGGTACTCATCAATGGTCAGCGTGAGGAAGCACTGGTGGATAGTGGCAGTTTCCGGACAGTTGTGAGGTCAAGTCTTGTTGGCAAGGATCAGTGGGCCCCTGATAAAGCTACCATCAGTTGCATCCACAGAGATGAAAAGCCTTACCCCACCGCCGAGGTCTTTTTGACTGTCGGGGGGCAGACTTTCCTTCTTCCTGTGGCACTAGCATCCAAGCTGCCTTATTCAGTCATTTTAGGCCTGGATGTTCCAACGTTGCTAGATCTTGTGCAAGAACAGCCATCACCAAGTGCCCGATCAGTTCCTCCACGAGTCATTCCCTTAGATCCCCAGAGTGTAGAAGTGCCCGGGAAGCCCGATCCCTTCGATGGGGAGTTCAAGATAAACTCAGACACCCAGATTAGGATGTGTAATGTCGCTACAAGGGCGCAGACGGCAAAGGCGACCCTTGGTGAGTTACCATTTTATAATTGTGATCTAAAGGCAGGCACAAACAAGCAGCGCCTGTCCAAAGCGCAGAAACGCAGGGACACATTTTTGGCTGCCCCTAAGGAAAGCATTGAGCTCCCTGTACCTAGTCACCCGCCAGACATTCAGATTCCCCCCGATGTAGGTGAGCTGCAGAGAAAGGACCCTTCCCTTACACAGTGGTTTGAGAAAGTGTCAGAGGTTGATGGTGTAAAAACAGCAGATGCAGGATTTAAGGAGGATGCTACTTACCTCATTAAACAGGGTATTATGTACCGTCGTCAGGGTGAGATTGAAGCATTAGCTTTACCTCAGTTACTCAGAAACACGGTAATGAAACTCGGCCTCTCAGTTCCTTGGGCAGGGCACATGGCATTTAATAAAACACTGCGTGGAGTGGGTCGTCGTTTTGCCTGGCCAGGCCTGTACACCCAGCTGTCCCAGTTTTGCCAGGCCTGTGAGACCTGCCAGATTACATCTAGGCAAAGGGTAGCTAAAGCCCTGTTACAGCCCTTGCCCCTCATTGAAACCCCGTTTGAAAGAATAGGTATGGATGTAGTTGGGCCTTTAGAGAGAAGTGCATCGGGTAACCGCTACATACTGGTAATTTGTGACTATGCTACCCGCTACCCCGAAGTGTTTCCCTTGAGATCTGTTAAAGCCAGGTATGTGGCAAATTGCCTACTACAGTTGTTCTCTAGGGTAGGCATAGCCAGAGAGATACTTACTGACTGCGGCACAAACTTCCTCTCCAAGTTACTGAAGCAGGTGTATCAGCTGCTAGGAGTAAAGGGCATTAAGACCACCCCTTATCATCCCCAAACGGACGGGCTTGTCGAGCGATACAACCAGACTTTGAAGAGCATGCTGCGCAAGTTTGTTTCAGAGACGGGTTCCGACTGGGACCAGTGGTTGCCATACCTCCTCTTCGCCTACCGGGAGGTGCCACAATCCTCAACCGGGTTCTCACCTTTTGAACTGTTGTATGGACGTGAGGTGAGAGGTCCCCTGGATCTGCTTAAAGACCACTGGGAGAATCCGAAGCCTGCTGGTGAAAACATTGTATCCTACGTGGTCAAGATGAGGGAGCGGTTGGAGAAAATGGCAGCCCTGGCCAAGGGGAACCTGATGAATGTCCAAAAGACTCAGAAAACCTGGTATGACCAGAAGGCCAGAGAAAGAGTGTTTCAACCTGGTCAGAAGGTGCTGTTGCTGTTACCTTCCAGTGAGAGAAAGCTGCTGGCTAGATGGCAGGGCCCATATGAGGTCACCAGACAGGTCGGAACAGTCAACTATGAAATCCATATGCTGGACAGAACCAAGAAGCATCAGACGTTTCATATCAACCTGTTAAAAGGATTCCAAGATCCACCAGACACCGTGTCGCAACACTTTTTCATACAGCCAGTGGAGGAAGAGGAGGTGGAGGAGCAGTTTTTCCCCACGGACCTACCTGAACCAGGTCTATTGGATGTAACACATCTCCCATCGGTCCAGCAAGAGGAAATCAACGAGCTATTGGATCCAGAGCTTTTCACAGAGCAGCCTGGTTTCACCAATCTGGTCCAGCACAACATCTACCTCAAGGAGACTGCTCCCAGCCGAAAGAAAAGCTACCGTATCCCTGAGCGGTTGGAGCGGTTGGTGCTCCCTGAAGAAGGAGATAAAGCTGATGTTAGAGCTGGGGATCATCGAAGTGTCAACCAGTGAGTGGTGCAGTCCAGTGGTGCTTGTACCAAAGAAAGATGGCTCCTTACGATTTTGCATTGACTTCAGAAATCTTAACAGCATCTCAAAGTTTGACCCATACCCCATGCCAAGAATCGACGAGAGAGGGTGGGACGAGCAAAGTTCATCACCACATTGGACCTCACCAAGGGGTACTGGCAGGTGGCACTGGCACCTGAGGCCAAGCTGCTGACGGCCTTTACTACCCCGTTTGGACTGTTCCAGTTCCGGGTAATGCCCTTTGGACTGCATGGTGCCCCTGCGACCTTCCAGAGGCTCATGGACCAAGTACTGCGGGAGTTTGCAACATTTTCCGCAGCTTACTTGGACGATGTTGTGATCTTCAGCCAAACATGGCAAGAACACAGGGATCACCTACAACAAGTCCTCCATGCGATCCAAGCTGCTGGACTGACCATCAACCCCCGTAAATGCGCCTTTGCCAAGGAAGAGGCGGAGTACCTGGGCTACGTCATTCGGGGAGGTGTCATCCGCCCACAGCTGAGTAAGATCGAAGCGATTATCTCCTACACCGTGCCAACCACAAAGAAGAAGGTAAAGTCCTTCTTGGGGTTAGTCAATTAGTATCGGAAGTTCATCCCTCAGCTGTCAGAAAGAGCAGTTGTGTTGACCAACCTCACCAAGGCCTCGGTGCCAGCCAAAGTCCGCTGGAACGAGGACTGTGACAGAGCTTTCAAGGACCTGAAGCAAGCCATTACCACTGAGTCAGTCCTTCACTCACCAGACTTTAATCAGCTATTCACCGTTCAGACAGATGCCTCAGGGGTAGGCCTTGGAGCGGTATTGCTGCAGGAAGTGGATGGGGAGCTGAAACCGGTGGTTTTCCTCAGTCGGAAGCTGTTGGACAGGGAGACAAGGTACTCGACCATTGAAAAGGAGTGCCTGGTGATGAAGTGGGCCATCGACTCCCTGAGGTACTACCTTCTCAGACGGCAGTTCAAACTGGAGACAGACCATCGTGCACTTCAATGGCTTCACAAGATGAAGGACGCAAACATGCGTATCGCGGGGTGGTACCTTGCCTTGCAGCCGTATAACTTTACGGTCAGGTACCGGCTGGGGAAGTCAAACCTGATAGCTGACTGGTTGTCCCGAAGCCAAAACGGTCAGGACACTGTGCTTCCTGGGGAGAGGGGGAAGGAAATGTGACGAAGGTAACTTCGTCACTATGGACTGACGGCTTCGGGCCGGGTAATCTTGCACATGTGGGTTTGCACAGGACAAATGTCACTCAGCACTTTGGTGAACAGTTTGCACTTTATTAGCGGGATTTGCACAGTACAGTTAAACATTGCCTATTTGCACATGTTATACTATTTATTGATGTAGTGTGTATTAAATGATTCAACCGTATTAAATTGTGATGTCGTCTGGCAGACGCTGGTCGGGCTCTCGGCTCCACCTGGAAAGAAAGGGGAGTTATAGCGAGAGCGCCAAAAGTGTTGGTTTGTGTAGATTGACAGCGGTTGAGATTATGTGCAAAGGATATGTTTAGCGTGTAAAGGTCATGATATAAGATGCATTAATGGTACAAGTTACTCCTATAACAGTCAACATCATAACACTCACCTCCGCCTGCTCTCCCGTCTCCGGTCCCAAGGTCCGTCATCGTAAAGGGTCCCCGGGGAAACAGCGGATCCTTTTTATCGTTCCGGATGGGGTTAAAGGAGCAGGTTGGAGGCAGGGGTGATTTGTTATCATGTACATTTGGCTTGTTAGTTTATAACGGTTTTTCTTTTCATACAGTAATTAAATATAATGTAAGTAAAGGATGTTTGTCATTCTCCACTAAATGTTTATTGTGAATAACTACGGTCCTTATCTGAGCTGACCATCTCTGCACATGCCACCCCTTTTGGATGGTACGGTCCAATGGGTGGGGCTATAAAGGCTGGCATGTTGGGCTCATTTGAGGGAGAATAGTGTGGGAGACAGTCATTGGGGGATATTGATGTGGTCAACCATGTACAAAAGATGAATAAATACCCACACCGGGTTGTATCAAGACGTTCTGCCTCTGTCTCCTTACTTGGTCGGGCCGCTCACTTGTCAGCCTCACAAGCCACTTTCACACCAAGTACTTTGCCGTACTTAGTTCCCAGAACTTAGTTCCCCCATTGAACTAAAGAGCCGATCGTGTTCACACCGGAATAAGTCCCTGAGGGAGGATTAGTCAAATGAAGCCGCTGACGTCACTTCTTCTTCTGCTTTGGGTTTACTGGCAGGCCGCAAACCACTTCACGGCGTATACTGCCACCCGAAGTCCCCGGCCGGAAGTCCCCGGAGTTGGGGAAGGCTTCAGTAGAAGCTGCTGAAGCCTTCCGAGTAAATCGCCAGAACACCGACACCTCCTCTTCTCCACCGCTCCCATGTTTTATTTTGTGTTGCCATAAGTTAGTCTCTGCATTTCTGCGCTGGGCGAATGCTAATGCTAATAGTGCTAATGCGAGGATAATAAAATGGCGGCTTCACAACACTTTTCAGAGTTCTCCACTCTCAGGAGAGTTCCGGTGCAATTTGGGGGGGGGGGGGGGGGGCTGGACACAGGCCGTGGGGGGACACCCGAGACCGGGCAATGTCCCCGGTAGTTACCGGGTGAAATAGCCGAAAAATAAAAATAAAAATAGGCACTCGTGAGGCGGGCAGAGTCCCCTGTCAACTCCCGTTACATTCCTCCATGGTGTCATTTGAGCGAAAAACTTTTACGAGAACCAGGCTGGGGGGGTCAAAAGGGCTTGACCAAGGCCGACACAAAGTGCACGGTGGGCGGACTCATCACCTCCGTGATGAGTCTCCATTGTGATTTGAAAACTTCCATCAAACGAGTCCTTCGGTGGGCGGGAAAAAAAAACGCATCAGAATCGTCACTTCCTGTACTGACAGTGGAGGTGTCCTGAGAGTGGAGGTCTGCAGGCAGGCTCCAATGGAGTTTTACGGGGCGTGGTTTGCAATCCGCCCAGCCAATCGAAATTGGGACTTTTTTCTCCCCAGGAAAGTCCCACCTCTCTAGCAGGCATTAAACATGGGGGTAAAAGTTCTCAGAATTAAGTACTCTTTTTGGTGTGAACGCAAAATTCCATGCACTAACGGAACTAAATGGGAAAAGTACTCCGGTGTGAACGCGCCTATTGTGATGTTGTGTCTTTATTTGTTTTGACGTATAGTTTTGAATCCAATAAGGACATGAACGCAGCAGATTCATGGCTGATACAAACCCAACCATTTGATGCTCATGTTGCTGCTTTCCTATATCCTTACGGTCTTTCCTCAGCTCACTTCCACCATGTGATCGAGCTGCTGAGGTTCAGACAGGGGACGCTGTCCGGGATCTTCCTCTCTGCAGGTGGGCTCTAGGGTTTAATCACTGGTGGACTGTATTACTGTATAGTACATTTACATCTATGTTACTTTAATACTGTACATGGGTCAGTTATTAAACTAGCTGCACCTTTACCAGCTGTGATGAACACATTAATGCATGAATAATAATAACCCAGTCATTTAATGTATACGATTCTGAAAGAAGACATTACGTACAATAAGTACTTAAATATATTTTGATACTTGTACTTTGACACTCTAGTGATTCTCCTTTTACTTAAGTACTATGTCTTACTTCTTCCACCTATGCTGTAATGTCCTGTCAGAGTGTATGATACTATGACTGATGCTGACCCATGCTTCTGTTCCTCTGCAGTGTTCCAGTTCTCCTACACAGCCGTGTTCGGGGCCTACACCGCCTTCATCTTCATCAGAACAGGTCAGGAGCCTTCACATCCTTTCCTAAGATTTATCCTTTATTTATACCTTACTGGCTTTATAACACTTTTGGACGGCAATACAGATCTTCATATTTTACTTTTTCACACCCAGGCCTGTGGATTACCAAGTCACTTGTTAATACAAGGGAAGATAATATTCTGCAAAAGCATGAAGACCGTTTTGGGACATGGCATTGAGTATCGATCAACATTTGTTTCAAATTAGTTTTAAAAAATATATTTTAGGTATATTGAGTTGATGGTACTTTTATAAGCAGACAATCATAAGTGCTCTGCATTATGAAATGTAAATAATAGATACAAATAAAAAAATGGTCTCCAGTAGTAGTCCAAAGCCATGGTTACAGTTAGTCTGAATGAAAAGGTTACTGATCATTTGTATATTCATAACTCCTACTGTGATCATTTATCAAGAAAACACATTCCTAGCATGCCTCCACGTGAAACAAGGACCTATACAACTACAAGAAGAATTCAACTTATTAAACATGTTTAGTAGATGATGTAAAATGATCTTTTTACAAACTCCATGTCTCATTTGCCTATTCGCAAGCTTACTTAACACCTTAATATTGACATGGAAACAAATAGAGCCTTCTCGTTTTTATAAATAGACATGGGTCATTGAAAGTTATTTTAATTAAACATTCTTTGCCAGGATAGAACCTTCCCTTTTAAAAAGAATTGTTCTGTGAGAGGTCTCCATGTATCAAACGGTGCCGTGTTGGGTCCTTGAACTAGAGGGATTTGGCCCGGGAAGGTCCTTGAAGAGTCCTTGAATCTGAGGATACTCACATGGAATAGTGGCATGATTTTATGACACTGTTTTTGCTACTGTTAAGGCTTTTTTACTTGGATCATACTTTGAAATATGTGTGAGAGTTTTGCAGTTGGCCTCTATTTACTTGAATTCTTCCAGTGTGTTTTTGTATTCTCGGCTCACTGTGGATGAATGGTGGGAGTAATTAATATACAAATATGAATTGTGAAGTATTCCTTTAAACTAATTCTAAATTGATTAATGAAATGAATTCCCTGTGTGGACACTTGGTGCAGAACCGGACATTTGGGATTTCCTGGTTTTATGCATGAATTTGTCCTAAAATGTGATCTGGTCTTCATTTAAGTCACAATGACAGACACACACAATGTGCTAACGCTAAAACTTAATTAGCTTTTGTTGAAGTCTAGGGGTTTCTAACCTTCTTTGAAATTCAGTATGGACAAGAGCAAACCATACTTTGTGTGCTATTAGTAAGAACAGATGGTGTTTGTTGATTAATGTAACGTAGGTGAAGGTCAGACCATATTTTAGAACACATTATTCCAAAGTGTTCACTTACTTCCCCCCCCGCTTCAGGAAGTGAATCTCCACATTGATATTTCCTCTTCCTGTTGCAGGTCACCTGATTGGCCCGGTGCTCTGCCACTCCTTCTGTAACTACATGGGTTTCCCCGCCATCAGCACGGCGATGGAGCACCCTCACCGCCTCACCGTTCTCTCCTCCTACCTGATGGGGGTGCTCCTCTTCTTCCTCTTCCTCTTCCCCTTCACTGACCCCGCCTACTACGGCCTGCCCACCCCCGTGTGCACCCTCACCTCCTCCCCGAGCTCCCTCTGCCTCTCCTGATCCCTGCCCCCCCCCCCCAACTTTGTTGCTGAGTTACAGTTCAGGTGAGATTGAGGGTTAAGTTGCCATGGAGAGTCTGGAAATATGTGGTCTATGGCCTCCTGATATGTCGGTGCATATTAATTAAATATGAGTCAGCTGAAGCTCTTCTGAGAAGGGGGGGTTCATGTGTGTTACTGTAGTCTCTGTCCCTGATCTTAATGTAGCGCTAACACTGAAGGACACTTCCCCCTCAGATCCTCTCGTACTGATGGATCTCCTCTGTTTGTGACGATCATAATATTCCATTTTGAATATTAATCTTCCACTCGTAGTCCGTTTGCCAGCTCGTAGAATCCCAGTGAAACCAGAAATGATGAGTACCCCAAACTTCTATCTTAAAATGTATAGTAGGGGTCTCCAGTACATACAACTGCAGGATGATAACTTGCCAATATGTGTACTCTGTGGACTGATTTTGATATATTTTGGGACAATTTCTGGTTGAAACTGCCATTTTTGATCCTGAAAATGATCCAAGCCATTGTTCACTATTGTCCACATAGGCTATAATGCTAATGAATGCTAATGAATGCAACTTGTGCTAATTGTGCAAATATCCCAACATATGCAGGTTAGCATCCGTCAGTTTGTGGTGGACAACACTGACAACTAGCTTATCAGCCTCAGCCGTCTTTTGAAAGGATAATTCTTGTTTATTACAACGTGGTCTTATTTTCACAATCCATTTCCATCACTTATAAATTGACCAAGTTAATGCAGAGATTTAGAAACAAAGGTGCATAACAGCGAAGGGCAGGTGTATAGAACATTCCTAGGGAACAGTAAAACATGTAAAGGGGAAAGTTGAGGTATATCCATATTTACTTGTTTGAGCTGAGGCTTGCTAGTTCTCACTTTTTAAAATCTCAGTTGGGACAGTGATGAACCTTGATCCGTGTCTCAAATAATGCCGTGTTGGGTCCTTGAATGTGAGAGAATTAGGATGGGAACCGTAAAATGATCACCCATAATCAATCCACTTCCTGGGTAACCTTTGAGCTACTGGACTTCTGCTAGGTTTCTGTATACATGAGGGCTGCAGCTGCTGAGTCTTTGAAACATTCAGTATGCTATTGAAGGATTCCTGCCATCCTGTTATTCATTATGGACGCACATCTAAACTGCTGGAAAAAAGCATTCTATGTATCCAGATATTCTTCTGGTTTGTTCCTGAGCCATCAGATAATCTGACTGTTCGTGGTTCAAATAGATACATGATGGCAAAGACGATGAAAGTAAGACCTTGGTTGTAGAGTTCTGCTGCCCGTTGAGTTTTGAAAAGGTTTAGGGTTTTTAGACGCGTTTGGATCATTTGGGTGCCTAAGGTTTAGGTTTTAAATTGGGCAGTACTAGTTGGGTTTAGTTGAATCTGAAAGATTGGGCTTGTTTAGCCCGTACAGAACTATTATCAAGGTTTGATAAACCTGAATTATCCTTAATTCTTTGAGCATCTCTTGAGCGAGACTTGGATATATCCTTTTTTTTTTCGAGTCACAGCCCTTACAAAATCGTTGTTGCTGCACTGCATTGTGGTCCAAAGAGGCTCATAGACATGTTGGATCCTCTCCTGGTTGGGTTCCTCTCTGAATGATTGTCAAACAGCTGTAGCTGCACTGGAGTTCAGGAATGTAGAAGATCACCGTTAGTTGTTTTAATTGTACACACTCGTTCTTCTTAACCGTGTCATTTCTTTCCTGTCCAGCCTCTCTACAGCGGCTCTCTGCTGCTGTAGAGAGGCTGGATGGGTCAGTGTTTGCTATAAATGTTATTTATATGCATGTTTCAGTGCTGGTAGTTGTTGTTCTGTTGGTGAAGGGGGGGTGATGGGTTCACTGTCCATGTTGACTGAAACATACTCTGTGTGAGCCACAAACACAAGACTACCAGGAAGTTGTACTTATGTCCTCTGGGAGGTGAGACATTCCTCAAGTAGAGTTTGCTTTTGCCTTGTTGAGTTCAACTCTTTAATGCCGTTTTCTTTGGCTCCTGAAACCTGTCAGTCAAACTCTGTGGCAGATGTAACACCCAGAAGGACTTTTCCATATGAATCATAAAGCCGTTAAACTCCCTGTACTGTAGCAGATTGTTAGAAAGTGGACATGTTTGAAAACACTTTAGATAGTTGTGTTCTATCACATCAAAATAACAATGCAATGGAACAGAAACAGTTTAAACAATGATGTTCTTTAAATGCTAGTTCTTAGATCTGTCTGGCCAGAACGTTTTGAAAATGTAAAATGCGTTACCCAGCAAACTAGCTGCTTTTTGGTGTACAGTACATACACTTTATTCCCATCCTTGGTCGCACAAACCAACACAAATTCAACTTTCTCTTGTTCAGTCAAATCCAAAAAAACAGACAACCTTTATTTGTGTGTGTGTGTGTGTGTGTGTGTGTGTGTGTGTGTGTGTGTGTGTGTGTGTGTGTGTGTGTGTGTGTGTGTGTGTGTGTGTGTGTGTGTGTGTGTGTGTGTGTGTGTGTGTGTGTGTGTGTGTGTGTGTGTGTGTGTGTGTGTGTGTGTGTGTGTGTGTGTGTGTGTGTGTGTGTGTGTGTGTGTGTGTGTGTGTGTGTGTGTGTGTGTGTGTGTGTGTGTGTGTGTGTGTGTGTGTGTGTGTGTGTGTGTGTGTGTGTGTGTGTGTGTGTGTGTGTGTGTGTGTGTGTGTGTGTGTGTGTGTCCTCTCACAGAGTGTGTTTCAGTCTGAAAGCTGGAGGTTGTTACAACTCGTCAAACCCCAGCTTTTATTTGAAAGGATCTGTACTTGTAGGTCCATTCGCCTGAATGTCTCGTTTTCATTTGATTATTGTTCTTTCTGTTCTGGACGGCTTGCCCATCAGAGCTTACATCTTTAAATGTGAGACACTGCATGCTGCTTGTTCACAATACAAAGCTAGAAAGGTTCTTTTGTTCACACATCCACAAAGAGTTACAACTGAGTCCATTAGAGCAGCAACAGGTTTATATAAGGAAACCATTTCATGGCAGCTCTTTCCAGTTGCCAAGAAACACAGCAATGCCCTTCCGTGGGCAGTGAGACAGAATATTTCTAGCTAGAAATATGAATGTAAAAAAAAACAGGATTTAAAACATAAAAAATTGGCTTTCCAAATGTAATTTAGGAAAGACGTTTTATTTGAACACTTGCAAAGACATGCAACATTGAAATATAACTTTTGTTCAAAACTCCGTTTAATTTCAGTTTGCATCGTGCCGCTCTGCATCACCAAATCATAATGTGTCCCTAAATGCCATTTAAAAACAGCTAGGGGTAAGAAGCTGATCCAACAGACAAACTTATTTGACTTGTTTATGACCACCATTTGATTTCTAACAGTTGTATTTGCTAGTCTTCTGACACGTCTTGTAATATTCCCATTCCTGAGAGGGGTGTAAAGTGCACTGGCTTTTTTCTTTCAAACCTTATTGAATTGATCCTTTCAGAGAGACTACAAGCCAGCCAGTGTCCAAGCAGCTGTGGAATAACTGTAAACCTGGAGCTGCAGCAATAGATCCTATATGTGGGGAATGTTTCTAGATAAAGCAGTGGATTATCTCGACTGAACATGGCCATCAAATATTTTTGAATAACTTGAGTTTGACCTCACCTACCTGAAGAGACCAGCAGAGGGCGACAGAGCGCTGTTACCTCGCTGAAGTCTCCTTCCTGTTTATCAGCCTGCATGACATCAGCCATTACTCACTGCGAAACCAATCCACTCTTAACTTATTTGAACTCCAACACAATTACAGCCCAATAGAGGAGACTGATGGGGAGAGGAGACCCCTGCGGTGATGCTACATCCTGTTAGTGTCTTCTGCCCCCCCCATCGCGTGTTTCATTACTCCACTATGGATATGTATGTCCATACCATGCTTTACAAGTAAGCTTTAAACAATAGACTATACAACCCTTATTGATCAACTGGAGGAGCTCCAGTCATTGATGAGAGGTTTTGTGACTAAACTACGGTTGTCATTTACTGGTTTTTCTATTAATCCCAGAACCCCATTGCATGGCTACGGAAGACGATGAGTGCCAAATGAGACAATTTTAGGACGTGACGTAAGGTAAAAAAAACCATTTTGAGTCAGACTTAAATCTCGCAATTCTGAGATTCTGATTAAAGTCAGAACTCACATTTTTTTTAAACTTGACATCATATCCCAGTTAAATGTTCTCATGTGGCGCTCATCCTCCACCATACATGTCGATAAGTCACATGAATCTAGGTATATTTTAATTAGTGTTTTTCTAATTTAGGGTCGGGTTGTGGGTCAAATGCAATTGGACTTTACAAAGATATGTATCTAACCTTTGTAATGCCACTATTTGTAGATCTAATTATGGCATTTTTCTAATTTTGTCTATTCTTTGAGATCATTTAGTCGATTCTAGTGAAATTGATTTCAGATTTTGGCCTGTGGTAATGTTTTGCTTTCTGCCTTTCATTCTCGTTTGAATGGATATTCCTGCAGTGTTTCTGTGAGTGAAGCGATGTGCTTACTCTGTCACTGTTTTCTTATTTTGTATTGCAGCAGCCACTAGTAGGCACGAAATTCGAACATATTTCAAATACAACACAGTGTTTTTTAATTAAGTAAGAAATACTTTGACCACATGCCACACTTAAGGCATGACTGTTATTACTCTTTGCAACACAATTTTCTAAAGGGAAACAATCACTTCATGCAGAAGAAAAGACTCATACCTCCAATACTGCTGAACATAATGACACATTGTAGATTCATACATTTTATAGAGGAAATAACATGTTAGCTATTTAGTGTCAAGAGCCATATTAGAAGCACATTCTTTGCTGTTAAAAAAGGCAGTCTAACTAATTTATATTTAGTTTCCTTTAAAAGAGAAACAGGTCATGTTGTCCCTTTTTCATTTGGTTTCTAACCCAATCTAAGCTCATGCATTGTTTTCTCCACACAGCCCGGAAACTCTCCGCATATGATTTGCAGTCTGAATGTTTGTTCCGTCTGATCTGTAGTCTCCTGTCCCTCAGACACTTGTTCTGCCTTTACTGCTCCAATAACAAACAACAATACATGTTTTCTCTTCAAACCTGTCCTCGATCAACAACAACACGGATCAGTGTGTGCTGTTTCAGATGAACCTGTGTTAATATGCAGAGAGCCGCTCCGACAGACAGTCTATTTTTGCTAAGCTTTAGCAGCTCCGTTATTTTAATAAACAACACCCGGAATATTTCAAACGTGCATTTTCAGAACTTGTGAAAAATGAAAAGTGAGTCCGCTGGTGAAAACAGATGTTTATATTGAGCACTATCTTTTGTACTCAGATCTATTTTGGTGACAGGAACAGAGTGTACAGATGTGTGCATGTATTTTATGCTCACTGTGTCAAGTGCGTCACGACAGAGCCGTGTTTCAGTATGACAATCTTTTACATGAACTTTGGAATCACTGCGAAATATCTATTTGTAAATAAATAATGTTCTTTTATAAATGCTTTTGTGTCCGTGCTGTTATTGATGCTTTGTGAAATGAATGACCGCATGTTGCTGTGATGTTTTTCTGGATTTCACAATGATGCATATCTTTTATCACATTTTAATGAGTTTTAGGAGAAAATACATTCGCCAACATCTAACATCTAATACAATCATTCTTGTTCAATTTTCTATTGTTAGAACGTGTGTATGATCTTCATCTGTTACAGTTCATTGTGGTTTGTTTAGCTAGCAGTGTGTGGTGGCTTCATCCTGGGAAATATGTGACACTATCCATCCATCTTCTTATCCGGAGAAGGGTCTCAGAGGACCCCACACTTCCCTTTCCCCACATCAACGCCTCTGACTGGGGGGTTCCAAGGTGCTCCCCAGCCAGCGTGGAGATATCATCCCTCCACCTGGTCCTGGGTCAGCCCCTCGGTCTCCTAGGGAGGCAGCTAGGCAGCATCCTTACTGCCCACCACACCTTAACTGGCTCCTTTCCACGCCAAGTAGCAGCGGTTCTCCTCAGATTCGCCCCCTGCTCTGGAAAAAATGCTGCTCCAAAAACAGGTAAAAGAATAATGAAAACAATGGCGCTTGTAATAGTAATAGAAAAACCTGCCAATAGGACAAGGTGAAATGTGCTTGGTAAGATTGCTTGAAATAAGATCTTGTAATTAGCTGGGGAAACCTATATTTTCAAAGATCAGGAAATGTGTTCCAAAATAAGCCAGAAATGCTCAAAAGTGTTTTCTGATGTTAGTTGGTGATTTTCCAATACATGGAGACCTGAGATCCAACTGAACATAAGATGTCTTCAAGATATTTCAGAGGCATTGTTTAGAACAAGACCCTATATGTCACTGCATTGTTACTTCTCAAGTTAGTATGTCTTATATCCAGTGTAAAGATATTCTGATTAAATTAGACAAACACACTTGGCAAGATGTCAAGTTTAGCTAGTGATCTCCCCTCATCCCTAAGGGAGATGCCAGCCATCCTCTGGAGAAAACCTATTTCAGCTGCTTGCAGTCTCTCTTTGGGTCATGACCCCCCCTTCATGACCACAGGTGAGTGTAGGAACAAATATGGACTTTGCCTTATGGCTCAGCTCTCTCTTCATCACAACGGTGGACTGTAATAATAATTAATAATTCCTTACATTTATTATAGCGCTTTTCCAGATGCTCAAAGCGCTTTACAAATACACATTACACATATCATACATGCAATGGTCACCACTCCCACTGCTCGGTTCTCATTTGTATATGACACGATTGACATGGTACTTTCCAATTCCAATTTGGCAAGCTGTAGTGCTATTCCCAAGAGTTTTTAAGTAGAACTATAAGCTGTAGAGATTTCTGCATTCTCTCCAATCTAATGGAACACCAAGAACTTTAATTCTACTGAGCGACACTGCCAAATGCAATGGTGTAAAGTAACCAAGTATATTGACTCAAGTACACTTTTGAGGTACTTGTACTTTACTTGAACATTTAAATGTTTAGCTCCAATGTACTTCTACTCCACTACATGTATTTAATACTTTAGTTACTTCACAGATGTGGATGAATGATGTGAAATCTAATCAAGTGTTAAATCAGACTTTAGTTCCACCTGGAGTAAATCCACCAGCTACCCTGCAGTATACAAAGTCATTCAAACTAGCTGCACCTTTACCAGCTTTGAGAACACTTTCATGATCAATCATTATAAAACATATCATATATATTATTCTGAAATGGACCAATCTGCACAAAAAAACCCGATTAATTTCACAGAGCTTGGTGGGATGTGGGACTCAATGAAACACCATTAAAAAATCTGAAGCGGTTTGGAATCAAAGGGCGTGCCATATACAAATGATTTATTTGTGTACTAATGGAAGCAGCCTTGTAATTAGACTAGATAAATATAGCATTACAATATACAGGATTTAGTTCTACTGTGCAGTATTTAATTTGACATTGTGTTTTATCTCAATTATACGGAAGATTA